GCTTTGCGCCTTTCCTGGAACTCGCTTTGGAGACCAGGCTGGCCTGGAACTCACAGAGATCCGCCTGGCTCTGCCTCCCGAGTGCTGGGATTAAAGGCGTGCGCCACCACCGCCCGGCTCCTACATGGCTCTTAAAATGATGTTCAGTGCCTCACTAGAAGCAGGACCACAGACTACCCTACTACTAACCTGGAGGCTCTTCCACTGTCTACCTTCTGTCAATCCTGAACAACATGTAGGCTGTTAGTCAATGTGGCCAAGTACAGTTTCAAGGACCAAAAGGTCTCTACTGGCTCAGGGTCCATATTTTCTTTTTGGAACTGAAGAACTGTCTGCACTGAAATGAGCTCACAGAATGGGAAGACGGAGGGCAGGGTGCCTTAGCTGGGCTCTGAAGACAAATAATCCATTCATCCTTTAAGCCATAGGTCGTCTACACTGCAAACCTACCACATACTCAGTCTTTCTTGCCCAAAGTAAGCAGCATCAAAGAAATGGTCAGTTATCTTCTCAAAGGAGGCCAGCATCAACCCACTCTCCTTCATATTGGCCAGGCCAAACCTGGTAATACCTAGGACTTCACCATGTGCCAGGGAAGATGGTCAGATAAGTCTCAAGCCACTCCAGGAAGTTCAAAACCAAAGCAGAGGACATTATCCCAACACTAGAACCAACAGGAACAGCCAGGCAGCTATTCATGGCACCACTAAAAGCAGGTGGTTTTTAGTGCAGCTTCATAGCCATTGGGGCTTGATGATCCCAAGGACAAGGAGCCTGTCTCTTGTCAGTTGTACCCAGATGCTATGCCACACAGAATTAAAAATCTGAGTTTTAAAGGGGGAGTTGCTTCTCCTTTCCTATGATCATTAAGCTGATACTAGAAACAATTTAGCTAATTCCAGTCAAGGAAATGAGCCAAACATGCAACAGATCCACACAGGACCGCCACTGTCAATATCTTATCACGTGAGGGAGGACTTCATGAAGCCTCACCTGAGGATTTATAGTCAGGTAGTGGTTGTTTTTTGGGGGTGGAGACAGACATATTCTTCAATGGTGTAAACACTGGTGAGGTATCCATGGTCCAGTAATGAACCTGTCTGCTGTTGTAAGCAGCCCTAACGACATTCATTGGGTCATTAAAAAAAGGCACGAAGACAGCCGGGCGGTGGTGGCGCACGCCTTTAATCCCAGCACTCGGGAGGCAGAGCCAGGCGGATCTCTGTGAGTTCGAGGCCAGCCTGGTCTCCAAAGCGAGTTCCAGGAAAGGCGCAAAGCTACACAGAGAAACCCTGTCTCGAAAAAAAAACCAAAAAAAAAAAAAAAAAAAAAAAAGGCACGAAGATAGAAGGACTAGGAGGAAGAGGAAGGAGACAAGGGGGAGTGGGAAGTGCACAAGAGAGGGTAACAGGGGTGAATATGACCAAAGTATGTCAGGATACACATACACAAAAAGGCTCTAATGGAATCCATGTTATGCACAATTAATATATGCTAACAGGAGCATTTGAGAAAACAAAATCAATGGCTCATGAGGAAGAGTAAACAAGGTTGACCTCTGGCCTCCACATAAACAGAGGGGCACCCACATGATTATGTACCCACATGTACATACGACAAATAGATATAAACCTGAATTGCAGATCCAGTGAAATACCATAACCTTTCAAAAAAAAGTCAAAGTAGAAGACATACTTGCAGACACTGTCTCCTTCAGGGCTGCCATGACCTCACCTGGTGTAGTTTATTTTTGGTGCTGGAAATGAGCCCAGGGACTTAGGGATATTTACCATGACCTTGCTCTACATCTGAACTACATCTCTGGTTTCTTAAAGTCCTCTACTTCAGTATAGGCTTATCAGGAAAGGGTCGTATAAACACAATGCTCTACTGTATGGGGAGGAAGCAAACACCCATAGCAGTTTCCTACTACACTCTCACCTGAGAACAAGGTAATTTACTGTGTGTGTGTGTGTGTGTGTGTGTGTGTGTGTGTGTGTGTGTGTGTGTGTTTTTGCAAGTGCTGATGGAGATCAAACCCAGGGCCCATGCATGCTAATGCTAGGCAAGCACTCTACCACTGAGCCCCCAGCCCTACTCTCTGGAAATGGCTACAGAAGCAGCACTGGAATGGGTTAGGGAACCATGACCCAAGTCCCCTGGGCATCCTAGTTTTGGTAATGGCCAGATTGGCTGTAAAATAAGACTAAAGACACGGACAAAAGCCATGTTCAAGCTTTCTCCTCCAATGACTGGTTGTGTTGAAATTCTCACATGGAGAATTTACTGAAACACCTGATCCCATCAGCACACATGGGCCTTTTGGTGGTGACACCTACTTCCTGTCCAGGTCAGTCCTCACAGAAATGTACTTTCTATGCTGTTTACCCTCTCTGGCTGTTTGACAGACTGTGGGTTTTATGACCCCTGAAAACCCGGAGCATCCCTTCTCTCACACCTTGTAGGTCATCAGGTCGGAAAGCAGCATCACGTGCCTCCTGTCGATGCTCATGCCATGGTTGGCCATCGTGTACTGGATCTCGTTGATGATGGTTGTCTGGGCAGCCTCAATGCCCAGAGTTTTCTCCACCTAGGGAGAGCTAGAAGTGAGTGGAGGCAGTCCCTTCTGGGAGCTACCTCACTCCTACTTCTTCCCATTTGACAAGCACAAAGCACATGCTGCTCTATTTGCCAAAGTAGATTGTTTTGTAATTGTTGGGGAAGCAAATGCCAGGGACAGGAAACTGCTGGGTATTGACTGAGGGTCCAGTTGCAATGGTACCTCATACGTGTTACTGGAAGTGTTATGGGTGCCTTTCACACTGTTGGTGGCCATGACTGCCTGCAGGTTGTCGCCTTCTACCAGAAGCTTGAACTTCTCCATTCGCCTGTGCTTGTGGATATGGATGACAGCTCTGGACACCCCAGAACGCTCTATACCACCACCTACATTCGACACAGAATCCTTAAGATGCTGCAGCCTCTAGGTCCCTACTGAGAGGCTCAGAAACAGGGCTGAAGAATTGACTGGTAACTAGTTCATGCCATTCTCAGCCCATTTATCATCAGCGGTGTGTGTACTCCAGGAGTGCCTAGGTACTGCTTGGGTTAGGTGAAAGATGGTTCAGAGGACTGTTTACCATGTCAGTTTGGAGAAGGAGTAGAAAAGAGACTAATGGATAGAGTGGCAGTCTCAGAGCCAAGGATCAGAGAAGAAAGGCCTTTGTGCAGCTGGGCTTTTTGATTGTCTTAGCTCATGAAACTTTAGTGATTAGAAATGTGATATCCTGATGAAATGTTCTCAAGTTTTCTATAAATGTAGGATTGAAGGATTGTGATCTACAGAGCCAGAGCCTGGCACCTCACAGACTACAGAGTCTTCCCTCCTCTGTCCCTCCCCCCAGCCCCTGATCCTGAAGAAGCTGTTTGTGATCCAGGACTATCCTGGCAGTACCTGCCTCTAAGAGCTGGACCAGAGCAACAGTGCCCTCACCATGGCCCTCTGTGGCTCCAAAGGTGAGCTAAGCCCTTAGGGTTGGCTGTCTGTGTGCTCTGCCAGGGGCTTGGCTCTAGAATGTGTCTTTGGTAGTTGTAACTTACTGGTGTTCTATGTAGGAAGTGGTCTCCTGTGCCAATGTGTTACAGGTTACTTCTCACTTTCTCTTCTATCAGGTTCAGTGTAACTGGATTTATGCTGTGGTCTTTGATCTACTTGGACTTGAGTTTTGTGCATGGTGACAGATATGGATCTATTTGCAATCTTCTACATGTTGACATCCAGTTATGCCAGCACCATTTGTTGAAGATGCTTTCTTTTTTCCATTGTACAGTTTTGGCTTCTTTGTCAAAAATCAGGTGTTCAAAGGTGTGCATATTTATGTCAGGGTCTTTAATTCGATTCCATTGGTCTACATTTTGGTTCTTATGCCAATACCAAGCTGTTTTTATTACTATAGCTCTATAGTAGAACTTGAGGTCCAGGATAGTGATGCCTCAGGAGGTTGCTTTATTGTGCAGAATTGCTTTAGAAATCGTGGGTTTTTGTTTTTCCATGTGATCTTTAGACCAACAGCTGTGGAGCCTGCATGGGACTGGACTAGGCCCTCTTCCACAAGCAAGATGGTTGTGTAGCTTGGTCTGCTTAAGGGGCTCCTGGCAGTAGGATCAGGATCCATCCCTGGTGTATGAGCCGCCTTTTTGGAGCCCATTACCTATGGCTATGGTGGGACACCTTGCACAGCCTTGATGCAGGGGGAGAGGCTTGGACCTCCCTCATCTGAATGTACCAGGCTTTGCTGACTCTCCGTGGGAGACCTTACATATTTGGAGGTGGAAATGGAGGGTTTTTTGGGGGGAGGGGTTGGGGTGGAGCAAGAGGAGGAAAGAGAGGGGGATCTGTGGATGGTATGTAAAATGAATTTAAAAAATTCTTAATAAAGAGTTAAAATAAAGAAAAAACAAAATTAAATTTTAAAAAAGCTGAAAATTTTCAGTAATAGATTTAGTGAAGTAACAATCTATTTTCTTTGGCAGGTGGATTTTGGTTTCCAATGCGCTTCATTCACAAAATATTGATTTTGTTTTTTTTCATTTGATGTATTTATTTGCTTACTCATTTATTTATTTGTTTGTTTGTTTGTTTATTTATTTATTGGCCTTGAGACAAGAAAGTGCGGCATTTCACTGTCGTTTTGAGAAACCCACCAGAAAATGGGTGGGTTTTTTGGGGGGCGGGGGGGGGGGGGCGGAATCAGCGCGCCCTAGTGCATTTTATGCAGGCGCCAGTAGGTGGCGGTGTAGCGGGAGGTCGCAAAGCAGCAGGTGAGAAGCCTCTCTGGACAGACCCCGTGGCAGAAGAGGAAGCGGCACGTGCGGCGCTCTACGGTGGCCGAGGGACAGCGGCTGCTCTCTGAGCCCTAAATCCAGAAGGGCCCGGGAAGCTGCAGCAACTGTGGTTTCTGTAGTCCGAGCCTGGAGAAGGACACCAGGCAGCCGGCACCATGGTGAAGGAGCAGTTCCGGGAGACGGATGTAGCTAAGAAAATGTAAGAGGTGGCCTGCTGCTGAGGCTGGGGTCCCGGGTCCCAGAGGGTTCCAGGTGAGGGACAGCTGTGAAGAGAGAGAAGAGAGAAGTTCCAGGATGGGATTTCAGATCTTACGGGTCCCTGAACTGTGGCGGAGAAAGTGGGATGGACCGAGCAGTGTCAGAACGGGCGTCCTGAGCCAGGATGCCACCTCCCGAAGCCCCGCGCTGACTCCTCTCAGGAACTTTTCCCTGGCAGGAGGAGACTGTGTGCTGACCCGAGGTTGTCAGCTAGAAAGTGGGTTCACAGCAGCTAGGCGGCAGGCTGAGATCCAGTCTGCTGTTCCGGGCCTTCTGCTTCAGAACCTAATTATTAAACAGTAGACCCTCCTTAGGAGTTTTCAGTTTGTTGCTTTTGTGGTTTTTTTTTTTTTTTTTTAACATAGATCCGTTCATTTTTAAGGAACACGAGAGAGTACTTGTTTACCGCAAACCCACTAACAAGAGTTTTATTTAGAGAGAGAGAGAGAGAGAGAGAGAGAGAAGAGGAAGAGAGGAGGGGAAGAGGAAGAGGAAGAGGAAGAAGAAGAAGAAGAAGAAGAAGAAGAAGAAGAAGAAGAAGAAGAAGAAGAAGAAGAAGAAGAAGAAGAAGAAGAAGAAGAAGAAGAAAAGTGCTCAAGCCTGTGGAAAACACGTGAAAAGAAAGAGGGCAGGGTAGGAGGAATCCGCCTTTTAAGGGCTAGCCTGCACATGCGCACTTAGGTCCACGCGACTCCTCCACGAATGCGCATCGATTACATGCGCGGGAATTACGCGACCATGCATGGGTTTAAGCGGGACGTTTCCTGGAAAGCATGAGCGATCATTGGGGCGTGACTATCAGTACTGAGGTCAGTGTTGTGCACTAAAGATTCCACATGAATGCAGCGTTTGCTGCTGGTCTAGTGGAGAGTAGTCAAATCAGTCATGGTAGCGGCGAATGCAACGACACGCAGACGCACACGTAATAATAAGTCCGGGCTCACCACACACCAGGCCTTTTTCTAAACGCATATTGGAGGGACAGGGTGGGCTGATAGAAGTGAAGCAGGGGACTTACACTATGTGAGTCTTGCAAGGAGTGTCAGACTTTTGAAGTGTTTGACCAGAACAGCATTTGAGTAAGATTCCTCGTTCTGAGAGGCCATGTCAGGGATCCAGACTGGAAATGATGATGGCCTGAACTGGGGGTGGGGGCCTGAGGATGGGTGTAGGGACATGGAGAGAAAGGGATTCAAAGAGGGTTAGTGTGTAAAGTCGAAAAAAGAGTAGAGATGGAGGTAAGAGAGAAATGAGATGGACATTGTTTGTGTGTGGTTGACATTCACTAGAACAGATGTCTAACCTGGGTGACCTCCAGCTGTTCTCAGTATCACCCCTCCCAGTACTTCACACCCACCCTATACACTTAAAATACTTTGTCTCACAGCAGCCCCAGGATAGTGTTAGAATGCAGATGAGGTCAATTGTGATGGCACAGGCCCGTAATCCCAGCACTCAGGCCAAGGCAGGAGGATTATAAATTTGAGGCTAGTCAGAGCCACATAGCAAGACCCTTCATTTGAGAAGAAAACTAGATCTGTGTCACTTGGATCTTCCAGTAGCTCTCTATTACACTAACACTTCATACTCTCCTGATTCCCAAGCCTTGCCCCGCCCCCAGGCCTTACTAGAGCCATCCTGTACCCTTAGCTAGCTGTCTGTGCCCCACTGTGCTGCTTGCATGTGGTTGCTTGACGATGCCCAGAGTGGGTGGGCCCAGGGATCTGTCTTCTGCTTCCAATGTTCATTCTTCTAATTGCCTTATGTGTGGGCTCCTTTCCTACTTGGAATCCAGCTGGAAGGTCAGTTTTGCAGAGAAGCTTTCTGTGGAGACCCTGTTGTGCCTCTAACGACACCGACACCATTCCATGTCATTTTGATTCTCTACATGGTTTATGAACAGTCATCACTTCATGGGACATTGATTCCAACCCCCCCCCCCCCCCCGCACTCACAGACACTAAACTATGAGGATATTAACTCCTTTATGCAAAGTGGCATGCTATCTCTAGATAATCTATTTGGCCTTGTAAATTGTTTGACCGTGTTTTTGTCTGTGGGTTGGTTGGTTGGGTTTTTTAGAAAATAACGAAAGGGAGAAAGCCCGTACATGTTCCCAGTGGCCCTTGGCAGGCTGTTGTGTCACTCTTGGAGAACTGCTCTTGCTAGTAAGTGGTTTATAGACTTTGCAGTCCTCTGGCCTTTCACTTTCCTGGCACACCAGTGTCCTGTCCAGCTCTGACAGATCCTCAGCTGTGGTCTGGCCTCTGTTCCCTTCCTACCATTTCTCAATGCTCTTCAAGATTTCCTACCCTATTTTCTCCGCTGGTAGGGAGGTGTTCATGGCTGGAAGATGGGAAATAAAGAAGGGTATTTGGTGAGGGCCTCTACCCCTCTCCCTGGTTTGTGTCATCCCTGCTGCACCACAGATGCCTTCCATGCTCTGGGATCCTGATGGCAGTAGCTATTCAGATGCTTTTTTCTAACTTTGTTTCTCTCCTAGATCCTCAGAGAAAATGTTTGTTAAAGTCAACTTAAGTATAACATTTCATTATTGAAACTTAAGATTCAGTGAATAAAATCCCCAGAAAATTTAGTAAGTAGAACCCATGACACATAATGACCATTTTTTGTTTGTCTGTTTTTGAGTGAGGGTCTTTCTATGTCAGTGGTTCTCAAGCTGTGGGTCTTGACCCCCGGGGGTCGAACAACCCTTTCACAGAGGTCACCTGAGACCTTCGGAAAACACGAATGTTTACATTACAATTCATAACAATAGCATAATTATAGTTATGAAGTCGCAACAAAAATAATTTAATGATTGGGGGGTCACCACAACATGAGGAACTGTATTAAAGGGTCTCAGCATCAAGAATATTGAGAACTGTTGCTCTATGTAGTTCTGGCTGTCCTGGAGCTTACTATGTAGACCAGGCTGGCCTGCCTCTGCCTCAAAAAGCAGGGATTAAAGATGTGTGATACCATGCCCAGCTCCATTCTTAGGATTTTTAGATCTCTGGAATTTGCAGAATTCTTAGTAAGTTAGTGGTTCATAGCTTAACATTTTAAATATAATATACTTGTTAATTCTCTAAGAGTTTCATACATACATACAATATATTTTTATCATGTTCACACCCTACTCTTCCCCTAAATCCCCTCAGATCCACTGCCTATCTCTTCCCAACTTCATGTTCTCTCTCTCTTTTAAATAACCCACCAGTCAAATTTATGTTGCCCGTATCTCAAGGGTGTGGGGTCATCTGCTGGAACACGGTTAACCCACCAGGAGCCTCTCCCCTCCCTAAAAGCCATAAACTAGCAATGGCTCCTTAGCTAGGGTGGAGTGTCGTGAGCCCTTCCCCTCCTCCACAACATACTTACACTGATGAACTTAATTCAAGGGTAATATAAACTGATTAAGAAAAAATAGATTATAATAAAAAGAAAACAAACTCAGTAGTTAGGTGCTTGCGAAAGGATTTCCATTGACTATCTGGAACCCACATGTGGTCAAGGAGCCAGTGTGCTGATACATGTTTATAATCCCAACTCTGGAGAAGTGGAGACTCGAAGAACCCTAGGGTTCGTGTCCAGCTCGCCCTAGGCAAGTCTCCACCACATAGCAAGTTTGAGGCTGCGTGGGATCCTGTCTTCAGAAAAGCAAACATAGGGAAGGATAACTGTATCTAGAGTTCCTGCAGAGTTCTGCAGCTGGTTTGATTCCAGAGTGTTGGCACCTGGCTTTGATCTACCTTTTTTGAGTGCTACCTTTTGTGTCCCGTACCTTCTGTTTGAAGTATGTTAATCTTATCTAAGAATTTCCTAAAGATTCAAAGTCTATGTGAAGCTTGGTTGTGGGAGGACTCAGCAAACTGAGATGTCCTGTGGCTGGGAATTGCTATGGCTTCTGTCTCTTTGAGGAGCTTCAGATAGGAGATTTTGGTATGCAGAAATTGACTTGCTAAAGATGTGAATTGTGCCGGGCGGTGGTGGTGCACGCCTTTAATCCCAGCACTCGGGAGGCAGAGCCAGGCGGATCTCTGTGAGTTCGAGGCCAGCCTAGGCTACCAAGTGAGTCCCAGGAAAGGCGCAAAGCTACACGGAGAAACCCTGTCTCGAAAAACCAAAAAAAAAAAAAAAAAAAAGATGTGAATTGTATACCATAAAAAAAAAAAAAGAAGCCCTTTGCAAAGCTACAGTGAGTCAGTTCGACAGAGGCTGACTCCCCCTGAGCAGCAAAGGCTAAAAATCATCCTAGAATGCACCTGTTTCTTCCAAGGACAGTGTGGACCCAACACATGACACAACAGATAACTTTACCAACCCCTAGGAAACTAACCTCCTATCTCCCTTCCTTTCTACTTCCTATAGGAGAACTTGTCTGAATTTGTTTAAGCGCATCCCCGCTGAAGATGTCCCTTTACTTCTGATGAACCTAGAAGCTGGAAAGCCCTCTGATTTGACTTTTGGTGCCTTCCTTGTGTATCAGACCCTCTGTCATGAATGATTTGAAGTCTGGAACCAATGAAGATGACTTGACAATGAAACTGACAGAGATCATTTTCCTAAATGATGTTATTAAAAAGGTCAGTGTTTCCCATTAACTTGTGCATTCTGCACTGTGTGCATCTAGAGATGTTAGCTCACTAGAATGCAAGAAAACTCAGAGAGCAGGTTTGTTTCTGATCTTTCTGTACTCGTAGCACCGGATCTCAGGAGCCAAGACGCAGATGATCATGGAGGACTGGGATTTCCTGCAGCTGCAGTGTGCCCTCTACATCAACAGTGAGCTCTCTGGCATCCCCCTCAACATGGCCCCAAAGAAGTGGACTCGAGGCTTTTTGTCCAGTGCCTGAAGGGCAAGCAGGGTAGGTTCCTGACAAGATCTACCATTGTTACCTACTGAGGGAGTATATGTCTGTTCAGATCCCCAGAAACAGCACAGGGCATGTCATGGAACCCATGGTGTTTTTGATTTATTTGGATTGATTTAGAGGTAATCTGTCAGGGAAGAGGGTGGATTTTTCTGGCCAAACAGTCATCTCACCTGACCCCAACCTCTGGATTGATGAAGTAGCTGTGCCCGTTCATGTGGCCACAATTCTAACTCACTTATGTTTTTGTACAGTGTCATATCGTCTGCAAATAGTGAAAGTTTGACTTCTTCCTTTCTGATTTCTATCGCTTTGATCTCCTTTTGTTGTCTTATTGCTCTAGCTAGAACTTCAAGTACTATATTGAATAAATATGGAGAGAGTGGACAGCCTTGTCTTGTTGCTGATTTTAGTGGAATCACATTGAGTTTCTCTCCATTTAATTTGATGGTGGCTGTTGGCTTGCTGTAAATTGCCTTTATTATATTTAGGAATATTCCTTGTTTCCTTGTATTCCTGATCTCTCTAAGACCTTTATCATGAAAGGGTGTTGGATTTTGTTCAAGGCTTTTTCAGCATCTAATGAGATGATCATGTGGGCTTTTTTTTTTCTTTCAGTTTGTTTATATTGTGTATAACATTGACAGATTTTTGTATGTTGAACCATCCTTGCATCTCTGGGATAAAGCCTACTTGATCATGGTGGATAATGTTTTTGATGTGTTCTTGGAGTCAGTTTGCCAATATTTTATTGAGTATTTTTGCATCAATGTTCATGAGGGAGATTGGTCTGTAATTCTCTTTCTTTGTTGCATCTTTGTGTAGCTTGGGTATCAGGGTAACTGTAGCCTCATAAAAAAAAAGTTTGGTAATGTTCCTTCTGTTTCTATTGTGTGGAACAATTTTAAGAGTATTGGAATTAGCTCTTCTTTGAAAATCTGGTAGAATTCTGCACTGAAACCATCTGGTCCTGGGCGCTTTTTTTTTTTTTTTTTTTTTTTTTTTGGGCAGGAGAGACTTTTGATGACTGTTTCTATTTTCTTAGAGGTCTATTTAAATTGTTTATCTGGTCTTGATTTAACTTTGGTATGTGGTACCTATCCAGAAAATTGTCCATTTCTTTCAGATTTTCCAATTTTGTGGAATACAGGTTTTTGAAATATGACCTGATGATTTTCTGGATTTCTTTGTTGTCTGTTGTTTTGTCTCCCTTTTCATTTCTGATTTTGTTAATTTGGATGCTCTCTCTCTGTCTTCTGGTTAACTTGAATAAGGGCTTGTCTATCTTGTTGATTTTTTTTTCAAAGAACCAACTCTTTGTTTCATTGATTCTTTGTATTCTCTTTGTTTCTGTTTGTTCTTGTTGATTTCAGCCCTCAATTTGATTATTTCCTGGCATCTATTCCTCCTGGGTGACTTTGCTTCTTCTTGTTCTAGAGCTTTCAGATGTGCTGTTAAGTCACTAATGTGAGATTTCTCCATCTTCTTTATGTGGGCATTTAGTGCTATGAATTTTCCTCTTAGCACTGCTTTCATAGTGTCCCATAAGTTTGGATATGTTGTACTTTCATTTCCATTGACTTCTAGGAAATCTTTAATTTCTTTCTTTATTTCTTGATCCATTGGTGATTCAGTTGAGCATTATTCAGTTTCCATGAAATTGTAGGGTTTCTGTAATTGTTGTTATTGTTGAAATCTAACTTTAAGCCATGGTGGTCCGATAAAATACAGGAGGTTATTCCAATTTTTTTTTGTATCTGTTGAGATTTGCTTTGCGACCGAGCATGTGGTCAATTTTAGAGATGGTTCCATGGGGTGCTGAGAAGAAGGTATATTCTTTTATGTTAGGTGGAATGTTCTGTAGATATCTATTTGAGTCATAACTTCTGTTAGGTCTCTTATTTCTCTGTTAAGTTTCAGTCTGGCAGATCTATCCAGTGGTGAGAGTGAGGTGTTGACATCTCCTACTACCAGTGTGTAGGTTTTGATGTGTGATTTAATCTTTAGTAATGTTTCTTTTACAAATGTGGGTGCCCTTGTATTTGGGGCATAAATGTTCAGAATTGAGACTTCATCTTGGTGGATTTTCTCTGTGATAAATACATAATGTCTTTCCCAATCTCTTTCAATTGATTTTAGTTTGAAGTCTATTTTATTAGATATTAGGATAGCTACACCAGCTGCTTTTTTTTCCCATTTGATTGGAAAGCCTTTTCCCAGCCTTTTACTCTTAGGTAGTGTCTGTCTTTGAAGTTGAGGTGTGTTTCTTGTATGCAGCAGCAGGATGGATCCTGTTTTTATATCCATTCTGTTAGCCTGTATCTTTTTATAGGAGTATTGAGACATTGATATTAATGGATATTAATGACCAGTGATTGTTAGTTCCTGTTATTTTTTGGTGGTAGTGTTGTGTGTTTCTATTCTTTGATATTTGTTGGTGTGGGATTATCTATTGCCTGTGTTTTCATGGGTGTTATGTAACTTCCTTAGGTTGGATTTTTTTCTTCTAGTGCTTTCTGTAGGGCTGGATTTGTGAGTAGGTATTATTTAAATCTGGTTTTATCATGGAATATTTTGTTTACTCCATCTATGGCAATTGAGAGTTTTGCTGGATATAATAGTCTGGATTGGCATCCATGGTCTCTTAGTGTCTGCATAACGTCTGTCCAGGATCTTCTGGCTTTCAGAGTCTCCATTGAGAACTCAGGTGTTATTCTGATGGGTCTGCCTTTATATGTTACTTGGCCTTTTTCCTTTGCAGCTCTTACAATTTTTTCTTTATTCTGTATGTTTAGTGATTTGATTATTATGTGGCGAGGGGACTTTTTTTTTTATCCAGTCTATTTGGTGTTCTGTAAGCTTCTTGTATCTTCATAGGCATGCCCTTCTTTAGGTTGGGAAAGTTTTCTTCTGTGATTTTGTCGAATATATTTTCTGTGCCTTTGAGTTGATATATTCTTCTCCTTCTTCTATCCCTATTATTCTTAGGTTTGGTCTCTTAATGGTGTCCCAAATTTCCTGGACATTTTGTGTTATGACTTTTTTGGCTTTGGTGTTTTCTTTGACTGATGAATCTATTTCCTCTATCATATCTTCAGCACCAGATATTCTCTTTTCCATCTCTTGCATTCTGTTGGTTATGCTTGCATCTGTAGTTCCTGTTCATTTACTCAGATTTTCCATTTCCAGCATTCCCTCAGTTTGTGTCTTTATTGCCTCTGTTTCAGTTTTCAAATCTTAGACTGTTTCCTTCACTTCTTTAATTGCTTTTCCTTGGCTTTCTTTAAGGGATTTATTGATTTCTTCCAATTTTTTGTTTGTTTTTTCTTCGATTTCTTTAAGGGATTTTTTCATATCCTCTTTAAAGGCCTCTATCATCTTCTTAAAATCATTTTTAAGGTCGATTTCTTCTGTTTTGGGGATGTTCAGATCTTGCTGATATAGAACCACTAGGTTCTGATGGCGCCATTTGGTCTTTATGTTGTTGACTGTATTTTTGCACTGGTGTCTACCCATCACTTCCTCCACTCTGTGCAAATGGTGTCTGTGTCTGAGGGAGCCTCTTTTGGTCCAACTGATACTATTGGTCTAATGGGAGCTCTTGGTCTAATCCTGGCTCTTGGTCTGATTGGTGATGATAGATTCAACGTCTCGGGGAGCAGCTCTTAGTCCAGTGGACACTAGTGGGCTCTGTCTCAGGGAGCAGCTATTCCCAATTGGTGCAGTGTGGGCTTATGACTCTGGTGGTCAGTGGTCGCTGCTGTCACAGGTGATGGTTTTCTTGGCAAGGGGGTGGGGGAAGAGGCAGCTGCCGGGTCCCTGGGGCTCCAATGGCTTAGGGGAAGGGCACAAAATGTGCCCCTGGGGCCTAGGGCCTAGGGACCTGGTCTGCCCAGTCTGGAGATGGGGCCTTACCTGTTCCCAACTGGTCCTGCTGTTCGTTTTTATTCATTTTAATTTTCTTTCTTCCTCAGTGCTAGAGATGAAACTGGGGCCTCATAGCTGGGAGGTCAACTGACCTCATCCTAAGCCCATTCAGCAGTGTTTTAAAACAAAAGGGCACGCCCATCTACCTCAGGCTTTCCCCAAACACCAAACCCACTCAATCCATGATCAGTTCAGTCAGTGTCACCTAGCCATTCTGGTTTGCACATTTTGGTGATGGGAGCATTTGAGATGAGTGACAGTTTCGGGGTGTTGTCTTTGGAGTGACCCTTGTATCTTGCTTGGTGTTTATGAATGCATACATTCCACTTTCTATGCCACAGCTTTTTTTCCCTACTGACAACACTTTCAACACCTTTGTTAGTTTAATCCTCACATTGTACAGTATTTCACTGAAAACATTTTTTTCAAACAATGTTATTTTTTTTAAAAAAAAGGCAGTGCTCTGATTTGTTTGTACATTTTATAGTCTAGCCATCCAAAAACTTCTGGTCACAACATTGTCAAAATAATAAAAATAATCAGTTCTTCTTCCTAGTTAGTTTTCTCGGTATGGTTGTTAGTTTTTAACTGTAAAATGACTGAGTCAAAGAGTCTGATCATTTGAAAGCTGTTTCTGCTCAGCCAGAAAGCCTTCAGCAGTCTGCATTCACTTCATACTCTAGTGGATACAGTGAGAAAGCCTGCAGCCGTCTGCATTCAGTTCATACTCTAGTGGACACAGTGAGAAAGCCTGTGGCTGTCTGCATTCAGTTCATACTCTAGTGGACACAGTGAGAAAGCCTGCAGCCGTCTGCATTCAGTTCATACTCTAGTGGACACAGTGAGAAAGCCTGCAGCCGTCTGCATTCAGTTCATACTCTGAGTATAAGATGGTGGTTACAGTGCCCCCCAACCCTAAGTTCCATATAGCGACTTAGACCACTGTAGTGCCTGGTAGTAAAAGCTTGCTGATTAGCTGCATGCCTGATCTGGATCATCAATGCTTGTCGTAAACCTGTTCCAAGTGTCCTCATTTGAAGGAAGAATGATCTAATTCTTTTCCATTAAACCATTGACCAAGAAGCACAACACTCCATGGTACTGCTGCCGTATCTTTTAAGCCTTAAAGCCTGGTGAAAATTGGCAGATGAAGTTGCCACAGATTGCATTCACAGTACTGTGCAGTTCAGTACACATAGGGAGATTAGAAACGGAGAAAGACTTAGCCAAGCCTCTTTAGATCTAGGCTGCTGTCTGCCAGTTTGCTGTTCCTGCAACTTCAGTCACCACTGGGGGCCACAGCTGCCCCATGGTAACTCTCTGTCATTAGACCCTATGCTGTGAACAACTGAGTACTGTTGGCTAGCTTCTAGACAGGAAACTGTCTTACTGTGTTTTTATCACGGTCCTGTAGGTGAACAAAGCAAATATTAATTTTTTGAGGAAACTGGTTCGAAATGGCCCTGATGTTCACCCAGGAGCCAATTTCATCCAGCAGAGACACATGCAGATGAAAAGGTAATGCTTTCCGTGTTGTGTGGGATTAACCTGCCTGACGGTACTGTTCACCAGAACCATGGAATGCATTCTAGATATACTGATGGGCATTTTGGCGTGTAGAATGTAGATGTTTAAATTGACTAGTCCTGTGTCTGTCATTGTCTCTGCTCACTGCATTTGCATGAAGTATTGTTCTCTTAATGGGACATTATTAGACCTAGATACACAGACTCGCTTGAGATACGAACAGCTTGTTTTCTGTGTCACTGGGCTCTTGAGGATCCCTCATTGGTGCTCATTTCACCAAGTTTGGCTTGACAGCCAGGTGAGGTGACTGCCAGTGGCTTATGTCATGAGGGTTTTAAGGATCCCACAGAAGAAAGAATATTACTGTAGTTCTATGATTCTAAAACAAATACTTTCATATTTTAACTTCCATTTCTCCTGGATCTGGAGACTGAATCCAGGGCCCTATGTACTGCTGAGCTGTACCTCCAGCTCCCAGCACCCCTTTGTTAACAATAGGGTCTCGCCAGGCAGTGGTGGCACATACTTTTCATCCCAGCCCTCAGGAGGCAGAGACATGTAGACCTCTGTGAGTTCAAGGCCGGCCTGGTCTACAAAGCAAGTTCCAGGATTGCCAGGGCTGTACAAAGAAACCCTATCTCAAAAAAAAGAAAAAAAAAAGGAAATGGAGCAATGGTGGCACATGTTGTCCCAGCATTGGAAGGCTAATGTAGGAGGCTCCAGGTCAGCCTGGGCTACATGGGGAGATCTTGTCTCATATAAGTCAGTAAGTTTGTGGCGTCTTAGATTAATTTAAGTGTCATAGACGTCAGTTTCTGATCTGAGTGGGAGAAATGTGTCGAGAGAACTGGGTTCAGAGACCATATGTGTGTGTGTATCCTGCACGCTCAGGTTCCTGAAGTATGGAAACCGGGAAAAGATGGCTCAGGAGCTCAAGTTCGGTGACATCGTAGAGAGACACCTGATAGACGGAGATGTGGTGTTGTTCAACCGGCAGCCCTCGCTGCACAAACTGAGCATCATGGCCCATCTGGTGAGTGTGAGGTTGCTACTCTTAGTTCCCGCTGAGTGGTAACTTACAGGGTCTACTCAGAGCTGAATTCTGAACACATGAAGTTAAAATTGCTGGAACTCTCCAAGTCTTGTAACTTTGAACTTTCTATTTCCCTTTCTGTTTAAATAAGACTTGTTTTAACCTTTAAATTTAGTGTGTGTTTACATTCATGCCATGATGCGCATGTGCAGTTAGAGAACAAGTTGCAGAAATTGACTCTCTTCTTCTCCCAGGTGCCTCCCCGAGATAAAAGTCAGGTTGTCAGGAGTAAAACTTGGATTTTTGACTCTATTTCATCTTCATTTTATGTATACATATGTGTGGGTGGGTGTGTCTGATGTATGCCACATGTGTTCAGGAAAGTGTAGAGACCCGAAGAGGGCATGGGATCCCCTGGACTGGAATTGTAGGCAGTTGTGAGAGGCCTAAAGTGGGTACTGAGAAGCAAACTGGAAGTGTTCTGGAGTAGCAAGTGCTTCTAACCTAAGAAGCATCACCAGCCCTCCCTTCAGTGTTTTTAAGATGTGAGGTATAAGGTTCATACACAACGTTACTGTGGCACAGATCTAATTGAGAGTTGGAGTGAAAATCCCTGGAATGATTTCATTTGGCAAAGAAAAATATGTGTTTTGTGTACACAGCTTTATATAAAATAGGAAAAAAGTTGATTTGGTTTGCTTTTGCCCGTTAACTTAGCAACTAAAGCCAGGTGGTGGTGGTGCATGGCTTTAATCCCAACACTTGGGAGGCAGAGGCAGAGGCAGGTGGATCTCTGTGAGTTCAAAGCCAGCCTGGTCTAAGGTGTCAGGTCCAGGATAGTCAGGACTGTTACACGGAGAAACCCAGACTTTTGCAAACAAAAAAAGAAAGGAAACTTGGCACCTAAAATGCTGAAGAGACTTGCACAGTGGGTCTCTTGCAGAGTGTTGAGTGCCACAGGCTTAGGGGCAGCATAACTTTGAAGAACGCTGAGGGCTGTGGGCCCCCTGCAGATGTGGCTTCACTGCTGCTACTGCTTTTCATCCCTGTGAGCTTGAAATGAGTCTAAAGGCTCACCAGATTCAGGCTCATCTATTTGGCAGGGCTGGTGCATAGATGGTGCTGGTTATTGCTCTTGGCTTGTTTGGAGATGTTCATGTGATCTGGCCACCCCACTCTTGCTGATACTGAGAAGATTGAAATACTTGAGGGTATACAGGTTCCCCAATCTTTAATTTCTTTCTGTTCTCACGTATTACCTAGGCTTCTTCTTTAAATAATGTTTTTTCATGTATTGGTGTTTTGCAGCACTGTCCTCCTTTCTGGAAATTTCCTTATTTCCTTGATAATTTTATGTCCATTGCTTTCTGTTTGGAACTTGTGTTAATTGAATTTCCAGTTACTGGATCAATTCTGCTTTTTTTACCTTTTTTTTTTAAATCTATGACTTTATTCATTCTTTTTGTCTTTTATCATTTCTGTTGATTTGAAATGTTTCCATGACAAAAGTTCCCATGATTATTATTTGCAGATAAGGTGGGGATTTGTCTGTTCTCTACATTGGGATTTTTTCCCAATTTCCTCTGTTTCATTTGTTTATGTTTTCAAGACAGGATCTACTATGTAGCCCCCACTGCCCTGGAAAATGGCATGTAGACCAGGCTGCCCTCAAGCTCATGGGCATCTGCCTGGCTCTGCCTCCGATGCACTGGGATTAAGGGCATGCACTGCCACACCAGGCTGGAGCGGCCTCATTCTGATCTCTGGATTTGACTTTGACTTCTCTGAAGGAGTTTTACTGAGTATTTTCATATTTGCTCCCTGAATTTTCCATTTCCTTTCCTTTTGTATTTATGGTCTCATATTTCATGTTAAAACTGTCCTAAAGGACAGGAGAGATGGCTGAGAGGTTAAGAGATCAGAAGTCCTGAATTCAATTCCCAGCAACCACATGGTGGCTCACAACCATCTGTAATGAGATCTGGTGCCCTCTTCTGGCATGCAAACATACATGCAGAACACTGTATGCATAATAAATAAAATATTTAAAAACAAAAACAGAACTGCCCTAAAATGCATAAAATCCATGTTGTTCTTGGTTATCCACTCATCTTTGGGGTGTGAGACTAATCACTGACTGGAAATAGAGCTGCAGGGTTTATTGTCCTTGGTTTATTGTTAAGGTTCCTTGGTTTGAGCTGAGAGCCAACCTTCTCACTGCAGGGCCACCACTTATCCCATCAATAACAGTTTTCTCTAGGGAGGCTTGATTTCCTCAGAGACATCTCTTCTAGTTTCAGTCTCCCACCCTGGGGATAGAGCCATGGAAGCTGACCAAGTATGAGCTACTAAATGCTGGCTACAAGAAGTGCGATGAATACATTGAAGCCCTGAACACAGGCAAGCTGCAGCAGCAGCCAGGCTGCACTGCTGAGGAGACACTAGAGGTGAGACTGCCCTCCAGATCGGCATGGTCAGCTGTCCTGCTTACAGTGTGTTCGGGATGGGCCAAAAGCCATGAAGAGAAGGTGGCCGAGAAGCAAGAAGGGACGCGTTCTTGTCCCGTTCCTGCAATGTGTTCTTGTTTGTTTGGTAGTGTGGGACCTTTGCTCTTTTAGCATTCACACTCTGGTATAAAAACATGGGTACCTGTTCATTTGACAGCATGGGGCTGTGCTTCACTGGGGCTGCTCGGACTGTCCCTCTTTGCAGCATCCTCCCACAGACACCACACCAGCGCTCAGTGTATTGATCATTACCATGACTTGGATACAGGATAGGAAATATTCATGTTGGATTGTCGCACCCAGGCCACAGCCTCCTCATGTTTGAAACCACTTGGCTGAGTGCTGAGCTGGCCACATCAAAATCTATCTTCTCCTCTAGGAGCCTGAAGTTCAAAAGCAAATGGACCAGGAGTTGGGGAACTGGGCTTTGTTTTGTTGTATTTCATGACAGTCTCATTCTGTAGCTCAGGGTAGCCACAAATTCAGTGTCTTCTGACCTCAGCCTTGAGTCCTGGGATTTGCAAGTACACGTTGCCATACCTGCCTATCCTCTGCCTTCTCCACGGCCTGTGTCTTGCACTTTTCCCTCCCTAGAGTGTGGAAGATAGGCTCTTGAAGGATCAAGTCTTCCCAGCTGGGAGGTGGCACACGCCTATAATCTCAACCACCTGGAGGAAGAGGCAGAAAGATGGAGAGTTCAGAGCCAGTGTTTTGTTTTCTGTTCAGATCATATAAATAGTTTGCTAAACAGGGTTCAAAACCAGGTCAGGCAAGTTTAGCAATACAGTAGCTAAAAGAGAGGTGGGAAGATGAATTCTTTCTTTCTGTGAGGGTTTTTTCAGACACTTTCTCTAAGTAACCTATAGCCACTAATTCACAGTCCTGCCACAGTATCCTGAGTGCTGGGCTCCCAGGAGTGTACCAATCCCCTGAAAATCTGCTCCTTTTCAGTCTTCCTGAGTTTTAGACAGATATATAAGAGGAAACTTCTCACTGTACCACCATGACAAGTAATTGAGGCCTCATTAGGACCACGACTTCTAGAGGGCTCAGCACCTTAAATTGTGAACTGTGACTGTGCTCACAGGTCAGGGTATCCTGGTGTCATCTTGTCACATTCTTTGCTCATGCAGATTGAAAGCATGCTTTATGAGAACAGGTAGAGACAGATTGTGCAAGCAGAGCGAACAGTCTCCTTCACATGAGCATTGTGCATTTACAGGGGTGCGCACACACACAACTGGATGTCCATGTGCTGTCATGTAGATGGCAATACTCAAAACCATAGATATTCTACCCTTGCAGAAGAAAGGCCTTTGTGCAACTTGGCCTATGTGATTGTCTGAGTTCAGGAAACTTCATTAACTAGAAATCTGACATACTGATAAAATGTTCTCAATTTTCCTATAAATGTCAATTTGAAGGTCTGTGATCTGCAGACCCAAAGCATGTCCCATCAGGGACTGCATTTTCTTCCCTCTCTACCCGTCCCCCAGGCCCTGATCCTGAAGGTGCTGTCTGTGATCCAGGACCACCCTAGCAGAGCCTGCCTCCAAGAGCTAGACAAGAGCAACAGTTCCTTCACCATGGCCCTGTGTGGCTCCAAAGGTGAGCTAAGGTTGGCTGTTTGTGTGCCCTGCCAGGGGCTTGGCTCTAGAAAACATTTGTCATGGTGGTAACTTCATAGGGGCTCTTCATTTCTTTTTTTTTCTTTATTAAGAAGTTTTTTATTCATTTTATACCAACAACAGATCCCCATTCATTCCTCCTCCTGCTCCCCCACCACCTACCACTCTCACCCACTCTTCATCCCCTCCTCCAAAAAAGTAAGGCCTCCCATGGGGAGTCAGCAAAGCCTGGTACATTCATCTAAGGCAGGTTCAAGCCCCTCCCCTGCATCAAGGCTATGCAAGGTGTCTCCAAAAAGGCAGCTCATGCACCAGGGATAGATTCTGACCCAATTGCCAGGGGCCCCTTAAACAAACCAAGCTACACAACTGTCTCGCTTATGCAAAGGGCCAAGTCCAGTCTCATGCAGGCACCACAGCTGTTGGTCTAAAGTTTGTGAGTTCCCAATAGCTTGGTTTGGTTGTCTCTAGATTTTCCCATCATGATCTTGATCCCCTTGCTCATAGAATCCCTCTTCCCTCTCTTTGACTGTACTCCCAGAGCTCAGCCTGGTGCTTGACTATGGATCTCTGCATCTGCTTCCATCAATTACTGGATGAAGGCTCGCTCTATGATGACAGTTAGGGTATTCACCAATCTGATCATTGGGGTAGGACACCTCAGCCACCCTCTCCACTATTGCTAGTAGTCAGGAATATGACTCTTTTTGAATAGTAATTGGATAATATTCATCTGGATTTCAGTTTAGTGCCTTTTGACCCAGATCTTCTAGCAGCAGAAGGTGGTTCCACTGAGGTGGTTTTTCAGTTGTTTCTAGTAGTTGGAAGCCACCAGTTGAGAATGGGTCAGAAAGCACCAAAACTTTGAGGAAACCCCATGAGCTTGAGGAGTGTTGACACACTTCCCCTCTGGAGATGTTTAGTTGGCTGGATGGTTTTTGTAGTGCAGAACTTGAGGCCTGGACCCAGGGTATGCTGGGCAAAACTCTACTATCACCAACACCTTGATCTTTTGGTATGCTTTTACTTTTTATTTTCAGGCAAGGTCTTTCTCAGCTGCCCAAACTGGCCTTGAATATGTTCTGCAGCCAGGCAAGCTTTGAACTTGTGATTTATGTGCCTGGGCCTTCCAGATAGCTGAGATTACAGGGTGTGCCATGCGGCCTGGCTATGGCAATGTACATTTTTAAAGCAATTCTGGGCTGGAGTTGAGTTTGGAATAGTAGATCCACACTAACCAGTTAGAGTGGAACTCTTTAAATAAAATGGGGATTCCTGACTGGGGTGATAGTGCATGCCTGTAATCCTGTGGCTTGAGAGGGAAGAGGATCTGGAGTTAAAGGCCAGCTTCACTCCATAGTGAGCTTGAGGCTAGCCTGAGCTACCCGAGTCTATCTCAGACAAACAAAAAAAAGGTAGAGTTATCAGCTTATCTGGTTTTCATTTTCAGATGAAAAGTGGAGTCTAGAGTTTGTTAGCAAAGAGAGGCAGATTGCTAAAAGCTCACTGAGTCGTTTTATGTCTGGTAAATTCCTCTGCCTAGTACTCTCTCTCCCCCTCACCAGGCATATGTAGCGCCATGTCCTTTCTGTACTCAGGCAGTGTTTCCATGTCAGAGCGAACCTGCTCTCAGTAAGAACGAGCTCACCTTGACCACTGAGGCCATCATGAAGAAGAACGAGTTCCTCTGCTGCCCAGACAGCTTCCTGCAGGTAGACTCTGCCCTGTGGTGGTGAGAACGTGGTCTGTCAAGTGTCTCCCAGTGCATTTTGTAAACCGTGGTCTTAGTGTGGTTTTTGTTGTGTCCTGGGCAGTATCTCACTAGCCAGCATGAAGAATTAATGTCTTGTCTTCCTGTTGGGAGAAAGAACCTAGAGAGCTGGTCTGTGTGATTCCTGTCACCAGCCCACGTCCACTCTCGTATTCCTTCTGCAGCCATTCTGAACATCTGTCACTAGTGACTGCCATGTGTCTCAGATTGCAGCATCTTTCCATCCAGATCAGAAACCCATTGTGTTGTCTTCCCATTCCTCTTGAGAGCCTTCATTATGGTGTGCCTTAAGGGTTTCCTTGATTTACCTTTTGTTTTTGACTGTGTGGGTGCTGGGAATTGAACCTGGATCATCTGGAAGTGTAACCAGTACTCTTAACTCCTATCCATCTTTCTAGCCCTTTCTGAGACTTTAATTCTTACTTTAATAAAGCTCTTTCTTAAATGAAATCATTTCTATCTAGAAAGATGTCTGAACTATAGGGTTATCCTTCATGTCTCATACCTCCTAAATACAAAGGAGGAGTTGAGCTAGGCATGGTGGTGCACATCTTAAGTCCCAGCACTGGGAGGCAGAGGTAGGTGAATCTCTGTAAGCCTGGGGCCAGCCTGGTCTACAAAGTGAGTTCCAGAACAATCAGAGCTGTTACATAGAGAAAAACCAAACAAAGAAAGAGCTGACTATCCCAAGGCACTCTGAGAAGCTGTAACCATAGGACAGAAACAGTGATGTTCAGAGTGATTGATAATGCTTCCAAAGAAGCCTTCACAGTGGGGTCATGCATACTCTGAGTGTGGAAATGTAAGCCTCATAAAGTCCCCAGAGCTATGCTGAGCTTCTTCCCACAACAATGTGACTGAGATAAGGGCCCAAGATAACTCATGGGTGTTGTATGATATTTTGTTTGTGTTCTGACAAATAAAGATCGCCTGATCTAAAGAAGCAGAGCAGCAGCCACTAGATACTTCTTACCTCTAGGCAGTCTCAGAGATCCTGTCTCCACCTGCCTTATATTCCTGTCTCCACCTCCCTAGTGCTGGGATTAAACAAGTACACCACCACCTCCCAGCTCTGTTTCTCTTTTAGATTGGTTCAATTTCAAGTAACCCAGGGTGGCCTTGAACTCCTGATCTTCCTGCTTCCTCCTCCCAAGTGCTGGGATTAAAGGTGTATGCCACCACTGCCTGGCCTCTATGGTTAACTAGTGGCTAGCTCCACCCTCTGATCTCCAGGCAAGCTTTATTTGTCAGAACACAAACAAAATATCAAACAACACATGGGAAATGGTTGGGTAATGAGAACTAGCCACATCTTAAGAGCGTCAGTTTTCCAGAGTGGAAGGCTCCTTATAGGACTGTATAAGAGAACCAAGACCCACATTGCATCCTTGATGCTGTGTATTTAGCAGTTGCTAAGATATGGTACACTGTGTCCATTGTTGGAGGTGTTGTCTAAATCTTTGAGAATCATACAATTTTTGTGTGTTCTGTAATTATTTCAGGAAAAAACATTCATTAAAGGGGTGTCTGAGAAGATCAAGAAAACCAGAGATAAATATGGCATCAATGATAATGGCACAACAGAGGTACGGCCTTCCCAGACATGTCGGGACACAGGGTTTCACAAATGCAGCTAGTCTTGACTGTGCACTTGGCTTTGTCCTTCCAGTCTTGTGTGGACCTTATCACCCCCACCCAGAAGTTTCTGGAGACCTGTAGGGACAAGTACATGAGGTAGGCATGCTAATTGTTCTAGACTGCCAGACATCCATGCAGGACTCCCATGCCTGGGATATTCTCACTGGATTCAGCATCCTGGCTGACCTGGTTTCATTTCTGTTGATGTGACAAAATACTCTGACCAAAAGAAACTTAGGGAAGGAAGAATTGACTTTTAGCTCACAGTTCCAGATTAGAGTCTATTTGGGGGAGCCAAGCCATCTAGTCACATCCTATCCACAGTGAAGAGCAGAGAGAGAGGACCACACCCATGCTGCCTGCTTCTGCTCTATCTTTCTTCACTGTTACACAGTTCAGGCCCCAGCCAATGAAATGATGCTGCCATTTTTAGGGGGAGTCTCCTCATCTCAATTAACAATCTATAAAATAACCCCCTGACATGCCAAAGTCAACCTGATCTACATCATTCCTCATTGAGAGTCCCTCTTCCCAAGTGACTCTAGGTCAGATCAAGCTGATAATAAAAAGTGACACGCACGCTGTCGCAGCATCACTGCCAGGACTGGGCAGATTTGTGCCCGGCATCTGTGGTCTCCAGTGGGACCATTGGCTGGATGCTCCTTAGCATGAAAGGACTTACAAGGAATTTCCTGGATATCTTTTGCCCATAAGGAAACTCATGTTCTTTGTGGCAGATTCCAGCTCTCTGACCACCTCAATACCCAGTAAGAGCAGACCACTTCAAACTACTCCACACACTGGACATCAGCCCTCTGTGTATCACATACTGAGGACACAGAATTTAGTCATGTTGTCTGTCCCTCTGACCATCTTGCTTGCCTTGCTTGTTTCTAGTCCATGCCAGTCTCTTTCTCTGGCACCAACATTGTCTGTTGTTTTGTTTCCATAGTAAACCCAACAGAATCTATATATTTTCTTTTAAGAGGGAGTAACCAGAAGCCTGTGCCCAGCAACTCTGCTGTCCTTTTCACTGTTACATCATATCCTCTTCTGTGCCTTTTTCTTCTAGGGCACAGATGGAGCCAGGCTCTGCAGTGGGTGCACTCTGTGCACAGAGCATTGGTGAGCCAAGCACCCAGATGACCCTGAAGACTTTCCACTTTGCAGGGGTAGCTTCCATGAACATCACCCTGGGTGTGCCATGGATCAAAGAGATCATCAATGCTTCCAAGGCCATCAGGTAGCTGCTCCCTGGCTAGTTTCTTGAGGTCCAGTGGTCCTTATGCTCATGAATGCCTGTGATTTGTTAATGGGGCATTGTCTGGTATTCAGAGGGCAGGTTTGCTGTGTTGATCAGTGTTTGGGCTTTTAGAAAGTTGCTCAGGTCAAAACTGGATATAGTCAAAATGGAATCTTAGTCTTGTTTTAGTTTTATTTTTTTATGGTTTGTTTATTTATTTTATACATATATATGATTGCTCTATTGCATGTAGGCCTTTATGCCAGAAGAGGGCATGATGTCAGATCCCACTGGAGATGGTTGCAAGCCACCCTGTGGTTGCTTGGAATTGAACTCAGGACCTCTGAAAGAGCAGCCTGTGCTCTCAACCTCTGAGCCATCTCTTGGATGCTTGTTTTGTGTATTTTTTTTTTTAGATTTATTTATTTATTATGTGTACAGTGTTCTGTCTGCATGTATCCCTGCAGGCCAGAAGAGGGCACCAGATCTCATTACAGATGGTTGTGAGCCACCATGTGGTTGCTGGGAATTGAACTCAGGACCTTTGGAAGAGCAAGCAGTGCTCTTAACCTCTGAGCCATCTCTCCAGCCCGTTTTGTGTATTTTTTATGGCTACTAGTTACATGAAAGGGAAAGTATTAAATGAGCTAGTAGTGTTGAGCACTAGGTCAGTAGACATTCCTTTGGTGCCATTGCTCTACACCTGAGGAGCCCTGATTGATTTTTCTCCTGCTTGGTTCGTAGCCATTCTCTGTAAGCCTCAAGAGATGCAATCAGGTTTTCAAGAGACCCTTGACTAGAAGAACTAGAGATACATCATATTTTTAGGGGTAAAAATTTGCCTATTCTCTGAATTTTGCAGAAGAGTAAAACATCAGATGAGAAATAGCTGCTCCTGGTTGTAGACCAGGTACTGTAGATACCCATGGTGATTGGAGGTCTGCTAGCCTCCTGCATGCTGGTCAGATCTGTGCCAAGGGCCTGTGTTGATGGGATACTGTCACCTGTGAAGACAGAAGATGATAGTGGTGGTCACAGGAGCAGGGGTATTGCTGGGGAGGACCCGAGGGAGGTGAAATGCATGAGGAGTTGGTTCCCTGGGGAACTAAGAGGGAGGGCTCCCTCCATCAGGAAATTTTCTTAAACCTGCTCCTGGATGGAATGGGCACTTGGGGTCTTCTGAAATTAGTTAGCCTCAGTGACGGGTCTTTAAAGTCCTTTCTTGCAGCCCTCCCCAAAGGAGTTCTAATAAAGTACTCATTGTTTGTGAGTAGCACTCAGATTTTATAGCAGTTCGCAGCACACAGTCCTGGTCCCTCCCTTGTGTGCTGATCCTTTCTCCGTCTTTCAGCACTCCAATTATCACAGCGCACCTAGACAAGGATGATGATGCAGATTATGCACGCCTGGTGAAAGGCAGAATTGAGAAAACCCTCCTGGGAGAGGTAGGGAATCCCTCTTGATAACAAGAAAATGTTGTCAAACTTCCTTTAAGCAATGTATGGATGCGGCACCACAGCTTGGATGGGCCTGCAGCAGAGGCCGTGGGACTTGGCGGGGAGTGTGTCTGTGAAGGTCTGGGATGGCGCAGTGGACATGAGAGTGAAGACGATGCTTTGCTCTTTTGCCATGGCAGATCTCAGAGTATATTGAAGAAGTGTTTCTTCCTGATGACTGCTTTATTCTCGTCAAGCTTTCCCTGGAACGGATCCGACTTCTGAGACTGGAGGTGAGTCAGAGAGGTAAAATGTGGAGGATGTGATCCCATGGTCCTGAGACAGGTGCTACCAAACGAGGGTTAACGTTCAGCAGGCAGAGAGTCACTGTAAATTCTGGCTGGTCTTTGTTGTTGGTCACCCCATTAACTGTCATGTCCTTCTGAGTTGGCCTTGATGCAGACAAGACATGGCCATCATAAGAAACTATTTGACTTGGTGTGGGTGTGTTCTACATTGTGGTTTACCATCACAGCATGTTAGGATATTTGATCTCTGTGTCCGTCTTCATGTCCTATGGAAGGAGCCAGGGCTGGCTTTGCCTTACTCACCTGTGGGTCTCAGCACAGGGCTTGGCTGGTTTTTCAGTTGGTGGGTTAACCTGACCCCTCACACTGGTATTTGTGGAGATAGAGAACAGTTGACTGGTAACCATGTATCTAGGGGTCAGCTGACTTGGTTGGGATTGCAGACTGAAAACTGCCACATTCCCCTTGCTCTCTTATAGTTAAGCCAGTCTTAGCCTTGAAGAACTTCTGGAAGCCATTCTCAAGTGCCACAGTCTGTGGTTCCCACATCACAGTCAAGTCTATCTTGCTGTGGGCCTTGTGACTCTGGCAACAGAGCTGATTTATAAGCATTGATGTAGCTTATTAGTAGAGTAATTGCCTCACATGTACAAAGTCTTGAGTTTTATCTAGGGACCAGAAAAAAAAATGAAGAATCCAGTTACATGTGGGAGTGTAGCACACAAACAGCAACCTTTCAGTACTCCTGCCCTCCGTTCTCCTTATAGTCCAGAACTTTCTCCATGGGCTCTGTTTGTTGCCATTGGTAGAGCATAAATTTTCAGTGAGGAAAATGTTCATTTTCTGAGTGAAAAAAATCTACTATTTATGAAGCCGGGCGGTGGTGGCACACGCCTTTAATCCCAACACTCGGGAGGCAGAGCCAGGCGGATCTCTGTGAGTTCGAGGCCAGCCTGGGCTACCAAGTGAGTCCCAGGAAAGGCGCAAAGCTACACAGAGAAACCCTGTCTCGAAAAACCAAAAAAAAAAATCTACTATTTATGGATCAAGCAGAGATAGTGAACATAAATATGTCTATATTATAATTTTGTGGTATTGGAGAGTTTGCCGAGTAGTTAAGAGCACTTAACTGCTCTTCCAGGAGACAAAAGTTCTGTTCTAGCATCCACAACCTCCTGTAACTCCAGCTCTGGGGGAGATGACCCTCTCATCTGTCTTAATGTATACCTATACACAAGTGATATGCATTCACACAAACACACATACACATGAATCAAAATAAAAGTAAATTTTGTGGTAGACCAGGCAGCACAAACATGACTACCAAGACTTCTTCAAGAACCATCATGAGCCAGGCAGAGGCAGGCCGATCTCTCAGTTTGAGGACATCAGGTCTACATAGTGAGTCCTAGGACCAGTAGGACTACACAGAGAAACCCTGTCTTTGAGGGGAAAAGGCATCATGACATCAAGGATGAAAGCCATTGACACAGAAGTCTGCAGATGTCTGTTGGTAATGTCCCCTGGCACTTTGCAGGTGAATGCTGAGACAGTGCGGTACTCCATCTGCACATCCAAGCTCCGAGTGAAGCCTGGTGATGTGGCTGTTCATGGTGAGGCCGTGGTGTGTGTCACCCCCAGGGAAAACAGTGAGAGCTCCATGTATTATGTGCTGCAGTTTCTGAAAGAGGATCTACCCAAGGTGAGGCCAAGAGTCCTCTCATGGAGAGACAGCCAAGAGTGGGGATGGGGACCAGGTCACTACAGAAACCAAGGATGGCACCAAGTACTTCATGGCCAAATACCCATGGCCTCAGCCTGGTTCTTAATTGATTTGGGGGTGTGGGAGAGTGGGTGGTGTGCTTGTGGGATTTGGCTCCTTCTCTCTACCTTGTGGGTCCCAAGAATCAAACTCAGGTTGTCAGGCTGTGGCAAGCTCCTTTATCCACTGAGCCCTCAGCTAGCTCTTTTATTGACTTCTTAGACTGGAAGTCTGTCTGTCAGTCTTCTTTCTGCTCGCTTCAGGCTGATTATAGGTTAGGGCACAGTCCTCTGAACTGTCTGCCCCCTAACCCTAGGCAGCACCTAGGCACTCTTGGAGTATACACTCTGCTGGTAATAATGGTGCTGAGAATGGCATGAACTAGTTACCAGCCAAATCTTCAACCCTGTTTCTGAGCCTCTCAGTAGGGACCTAGAGGTTGCAGCATCTTGAGCATTTGTGTTGAACGTAGGTGGTGGAACAGGGCATCCCGGGGGTGTCCAGAGCTGTCATCCATATCAATGAGCAGAGGGCAAAGGGAAAGTTTAAGTGTCTAGTAGAAGATGACAGCCTGTGGGAAGTCATGGCCACCCATGGTATAGAAGGTACCCAGAACACTTCCAGTAACACCTATGAGGTACCATTGCATCTGGACCCTCAGGCAATATGCAGCAGTTTCCTGTCCCTGGCATTTGCTCTCTCTTCCCAGCATTTAAATAGCAAATCTGTTTTGGGAAATAGAGCAGCATGTGCTTTGTGCTTGTCAAATGGGAAGAAGTAGGAGTGAGGTAGCTCCCAGAAGGGACTGCCTCCACTCACTCCTAGCTCTCCCTAGGTGGAGAAAACTCTGGGCATTGAGGCTGCCCGGACAACCATCATCAACGAGATCCAGTACACGATGGTCAACCATGGCATGAGCATCGACAGGAGGCACGTGATGCTGCTCTCCGACCTGATGACCTACAAGGTGTGAGAGAAGGGAGGCTTCAGGCTGTCAGGGGTCGTGGAACCCACAGTCTGTCAAACAGCCAGAGAGGGTAAACAGCATAGAAAGTACACTTCTGTGAGGACTGACCTGGACAGGAAGTAGGTGTCACCACCAAAGGCCCATGTGTGCTGATAGGATCAGGTGTTTTGGTAAATTCTCCATGTGAGAATTTCAACACAACCAGTCATTGGAGGAGAAAGCTTGAACATGGCTTTTGTCCATGTCCTGAGTCTTATTTTACAGCCAATCTGGCCATTACCAAAACTAGGATGCCCAGGGGACTTGGGTCATGGTTCCCTAACCCATTCCAGTGCTGCTTCTGTAGCCATTTCCAGAGAGTAGGACTTGGGGCTCAGTGGAAGAGTGCTTGCCTAGCATTAGCATGCATGGGCCCTGGGTTTGATCTCCATCAGCACACACACACAGAGTAAGTAGTGTAGTAGGAAGCTGCTATGGGTGTTTGCTTCCTCCCCATACAGTAGTGCATTGTGTTTACATGACACTTTCCTGATAAGCCTATACTGAAGTAGAGGACATTATGGAACCAGAGGTGTACTTCAGACATAAAGCAAGGTCATAGTAAATATCCCTGAGTTCCCGGGCTCACCTCCAGAAACAAAATATAAACACCAGGTGTGACCATGGCAGCCCTGAAGGAGAAGGTGTCTGCAAATATGTGATTGTAGTATTTCACTTTTTTGCAATACAGGTTTATATCTATTTGTCGTATGTACACATGGGTGCATAATCATGTGGGTGCCCCTCTGTTTATGTGGAGGCCAGAGGTCAACCTTGTTTACTCTTCCTCATGAGCCATTGATTTTGTTTTCTCAAATGCTCCTGTTAGCATATATTAATTGTGCATAACATGGATTCCATTAGAGCCTTTTTGTGTATGTGTATCCTGACATACTTTGGTCATATTCACCCCTGTTACCCTCTCTTGTGCACTTCCCACGCCCCCTTGTCTCCTTCCTCTTCCTCCTAGTCCTTCTATCTTCGTGCCTTTTTTTAATGACCCAATGAATGTCGTTAGGGCTGCTTACAACAGCAGATGTTAGGAACAGGTTCTTTCCTGGACCATGGGCACCTCACCAATGTTTACACCATTGAAGAATATGTCTGTCTCCACCCCAAAAAAACAACCACTACCTGACTATAAATCCTCAGGTGAGGCTTCATGAAGTCCTCCCTCACGTGATAAGATATTGACAGTAGCAGTCCTGTGTGGATCTGTTGTATGTTTGGCTCATTTCCTTGATTGGAATTAACTAAATTGTTTCTAGTATTAGCTTAATGATCATAGGAAAGGAGAAGAACCCCCTTTTTGAAACTCATATTTCTAATTCTGTGTGGCACAGTGTCTAGGTACAATTGAAAGGCTTCATGTCCTTGGGATCCCCACTGCCTCAGTGGCTATGAAGCTGCACTGAAAACCATCTCGTTTAGTGGTGCCATGAATAGCCACCTGGCTGTTCTTATTGGTTCTGGTGTTGGGATAATGTCTTCTGCTTTGGTTTTGAACTTCCTGGAATGTCTCATCTGATCATATTCCCTGGCACAGGGTGAAGTCCTGGGTATTACCAGGTTTGGCCTTGTTGGTCTGACTGACAGGTAGGGTGGAAGCAGGACTAGTCCAGCTGGTCTCCCCGGGGCTGAGTGGGATGGTGAGTGTCAATGGCCCAGACTTCCCCTGTCCACTGGAGAGAAGCACACTGAGCCAGGAGTCTTGTCAAAGCAGGAATTCATTTTATTGCATCAGGAGTGGACTTACATAGGTCGGGGTGATGAGGGATGGAGTGAGGGTAGCAGGCCAATGAGATGATGCCATCTCAGCAGTTACTAGGCAGAGGTTATTCTAGATCAGGTTGAGCTGAGTCACTCATATGCCAAAGTCATGTCCAAAGACAGGTCACCAAACTCAAGCTAGGCTCAGGAACTTACACTGGGCCTCACGCCCAGCCCTTTTGTTTTTTGTAAGACATGGGCCCCCCTGTCTTAGGTTGTCCCCCACTTGGAGATCTCACCCGTCATTGAGTGCCATGTATCGTGAATAGGAGAGTAGGGTTCGCTCCATGACCCGTCTTAGGTCATTTCAGCCTGTCTGAGAGTTTACCTGTCATTGGTCAAGTGGAGAGCAGAAGAAGGGCATTTGTAGGAGAATATCCAACCATGGGAAGGACCAGACTCCTGAGTGGCTAATCTTTGGTAATTTGTACCTCCACCTGATTTATCTTGATCGCCTCCAGTTTCTGGTGGATAAATTGTGTGAACTTATTGAACACACAAGGCCCAATGATGAGAAGAATAAGGAGAAGGAAGGGTCCAAGGAAGGGAAGTAGGTAGGGTAAGAATCCATGAAGGCCTGTCTACAGAGGATTGTCTTGAAACTCCCGCCATCTCCTTTCTAGGTCTTCCTGGAGCCTCTTTATCTTATCCTGGACAATCCCCGACTTGATAGCATAGAAGCAGTGTTTCTCCTGTAAAAACAAACAAAGACTCCCCTTTTCTGTAGTTAGCAGATCTAACCCCCTCCTATTCTGGAGGATTACCTCAGCCAGAGAGTCTAACTGACTCTACAGGTCAAGAATGGTGCTGGAGATGGCCTTTACATCATCAACTAACTGAATGGATAATTTTCTGAAAAGATGTGTGGACAGGCCTATCCCGGTGGCTCCTGTAGCCATGCCTGCAGTTACTCCCGGGCCAACAAGGAGAGGTATCATTTGAATGGCTCTCTTAGACCTTCCTCCTATATAGTCAAAAGAGGGTACTGGAAGAGCCTCATCACCAGGACAACATCCACATCCGGTATGAGTATGGCAAGGGCCCAAAGGCCTGTCCATGTCCCAGGGAGAAAGCTAAAAGCCATTCCTCCTCCACACACAGAAAACATTCCCATTGGGGAACATACCTGCTTAAAGGGGGGGGGGGGTAGTGTGGTTGCCAGCACAAAAGAAAGAGGAGACCTGGCCCACTCAGTGGCATTTTTACCATTTCATGGTGGAGCCCAGAGACAGGAATTAGTGGGCAAAACATGGAGGGGCTGCACCTTAATAGGTGGGGTAGGGGAACAGCCGGGTGGGGGGACAGTAGAGGAAACATCAATTTAAAAAAATGTAAAGTTGGAATGGGAAATATTAATAGGAAATGCCAATGGTCGCAGTGGCCCTGGGTGGAAGCAGAGCCAACAATTTTTCAAAAGGGAGGGATTGATCTGATTAAGCATGGAGAGGATAGCCTGGGCATCAGGGAGGGCTAAGGGGTGGTAGAAGAGCTCGGGGAACTCAGCTTTAAGCAATTGTTCCACTCTCTTTTGGGTCTATAATTCCCACAACTGGTCCTGCACTTCTTCGCCGTCAGAGTAACCAATGGGGGCCTCCAATTCCCAGCAAACATGGTAACCAGAGTGGCCGAAACAGGATTCAGTTCCCCGCTGGGTGCCTTCCAAGGCAGAACCAAAAGTACCCAAATGGCCAATGCCATTTCTGATGGCAATCCAGTAGGTCTTATTATCAGTCTTTCTAATGCATTCATGCACCATGGTGTAGCAGGTGGCATGCATGGATTGGTAAAAGGAGGTGCAGGGGCAGGGCCCAGGTTTGCCATTTACCGTAGGTATGATTTTAGGCTTCTCTACACAAACCCATTTATGTGAAGCAGATCCAAAAACAGTGGTGCCAGTACAAATGCTGAGGTATGCAACTTTACCACCACAATCTGCCATGCTCATCAGCTGTCCGGACTATGGTGAGGCTTTGAACATTCCACCACCACAATCACAGGGTTTTCCATATATCAAGTTCAGGGTTTCTTGTGCATCATAAGGACCCCAAAACCCTTCTTCACCAAGCTGGGCAGTCAACATAACCATCAGGATGAGCAACAGCATCTGCATCTTTGGTCTTTTCTGAGGAAGAAGCAAAAAGACTATCCTCAGGGGTGGAATACATCATTATCATTGTCCCCTTGTTGGGGTAAATATTTGAGGTGTCTGGCCAGTACCCACATGAGTCTCTTTTCATTTTGAGGAAAGATACATCTGAACCCTCTTCCTTCAGTGAGGAGTGGGTCTGGCCCTCTCCAGGCCCCAGGTAAGGGGTCCCTCCACTTGACCCAAATGGTACTGTAAGGACCAATGTTTTTGAAAAGGAGACAAAAATTTATCTTCCTTAGAAAAATTTAAAATATTTAAGATTAATAATGCCTTTCTTAGTTGATCATGTGGGGGTAGAGACTCCCCCTTGTTTTTTTAATTGGTACTTAAGTGTTTGGTTGAATCTTTCCATGATAGCCTGACCCCTAGGATTATAAAAGATGCCAGTAGAATGAGAAATTTTCCAGGAGTGTAGAAAATTTATAAAGGCTTTGCCAGTAAAGCATGGGCCATTATCTGTTTTGATTTGGCTGGGTAAACCAAGGGCAGCAAAGCACTGAAGCATATGGCTAATAGCATGTTTGGATTTTTCCCCAGCATGAGCTGGTGTCCAACAGGCGCAGAGGAAGGTATCCATGGAAATAAAAACATATTTAAGTTTTCCAAATGGAAAATAATATGTGACATCAATCTGCCAGAGATGATTGGGGCAAATTCCTTGGGGATTGTTCCCAATCTTTTGGAGGGGAGGGATCTGAAGGAAGGGCTGACAGGACTTACAGATCCAGACAGTTTTTTGAGATCCTTAATCAGTACCTGAGGAAACCTATGTTTCAGGCCTCTCCAGTTAACATGGGTAAGTAGGTGGAAATCTGTGGCCTCAGTAACAGTATTACATTGAGGCATTGAAGCCAGATGGTCGGTCAACTGATTTCCTTTGGAAATGAATCCTGGCAAATTTTGGTGACCTCTAAGATGTTATAAATAAATGGGATTGAGTCTCTGTTTAAGTAAGGAGTGAGCCTGAATCATAAGAGGAGAAATGGGGTTGGAATCTAATTTAATATGGGCTTCAACCAGGTTGGGCAAAAGATTTACAACATAAAGGTTATCAGAGAATAGATTAAATGACTCTGATATGGAATCTAATGCCATAACAACAGCAAACAGTTCGTTCCTTAAACTGTGCAGAACCCTCCACCTCTCGGGAGATTGTTTTTATAGGTATAGGTTCCTCTCCTCACCCAAGGGGTGGGAACACAACTAGGGAGGCCCCCAAACATCCCCTGTCAGTAAACACTGTAAGAAAATCGGGGTTTGGGTGGGGCAGAAAAATTCTAGGGGGTCTCCACTCCAGATGGAGAAGGAACTCATCCATTTATAAGGGCCATTATGGGCAATCAACCTTCCTCAGAAACTCCTCAAGGACTATGGCAATTCTGCTATTATTTCTTTGAAGCCAGGTAAAGTCAGTAATTTTAAATGGAACAATAACAGAATGAGGTTCTGTGTCAAACATCCTGACAGAAATATCCCTACCCTTAATAATACAGTCGGCTACTTGGTTGGTCAGGGAGTAAACCCGGGGGGGCTCCACCCACTGAGAGGTGAACCCAATGAATAGGCTCCCCCCTTGTGCTAACAGCACAGTGCATAAGGTTTCCCCAGGAAAAATACACAGGGAGACAGGCAGGTCAGGGGCGACTCTCCTTAGGGCCGCAGTATCAATGGCTTGTTGAACCTCTTGCAAGATTTGCAGATGGTGGAAGGATAAGGTAATCTGGGATGAAAGGTCAAGGCCTTTAAGGAGTTTATTTAAAGGGGTTAACTGCACTTTGGGCACAGAGATCCATGGCTTCAGCCAATTTATTTCTCCCAGCATCTTTTGAAGCTGAGTTAAGGTATAGGTCTCTTGAATAAGCAACTGGGGTATAGCTGGAGAAACTGTATCAAGGGACATTAGAGAGCCCAGAATTTTAAAGGGGGGATGGACTGTATTTTATCTGGAACCACCCTAAAATTATGATCTTTCAAGATGGTAAGGCAATTAGTGGTGAGGACCTGAAGGCCCATCAAAGTGGGTCTTCCTAGAATAATATCACCCATGTAAATATAAAATAAAATGTCAGGTATCTCATCAGGGAGGAAAAAATATGTGACATAAAGTACTGACAGATAGGGGGACTGTTAGCCATCCCCTGGGGCAAAACGGTCCACTCGAACCTTAAGTCCAGGCCCCTGAAATTGGTAGAGGGCAGGGAGAATGCAAACTTCTCCATATCATTTAGATATAATGGAATGGAGAAAAAAATCCTTAATATCAATAATAGTCAGATAATAGGTATTAGGGATGGCAGGTATCCAGGGAAGTCCCCTTCAGGGATCATTCTTTCATTGATTTTTCTTAAGTTATGTAGGAATCTCCAGGAACCATTAGCCTTTTTTTTTTTTAATAACAAAAACAGGAGAGTTCCAGGGGCTGGTGGATGGCTAAATATGCCCCAAGGAAAATTGTTTAACCAGAGCATCAAGCTATTGGAATTTAAAGGATGGTAGAGGCCACTGCTCAACCCATACAGGTTCCCCAGGTGTCCACTGAATCTTTGGCACTAGGGGGCAAGCAGTGGCCCTTAGGATTGGGGGTGAATCTGGGAAAAGTCTCATCCGAGCTTCTCAAAATAGGGATCATCCCTGTAATTGGGGTGTGTTTCCCACCCCTCCTCAAACTGCTGTTGGTACTCCTCAGTGTCAAGCACGTCCTGATAAGGGGCCTTATGGTCTATGGTGATAAAGGCCTCAGCTTCCCCAAGGATGTCCTGGCCAAGAAGGTTGTCAGTTACACCAGGAACCACAAGGGGATGAACCTTCCTGTGATTACTGTCAGGTTCGGTCCAGAACAACCAATTAGCTGTCTCCCATGACATAGAATGCCCCCCAATGCCAAGCACGTGGGGTCCAGGAACCAACTGCCAGGAGGAAGTGACTTCCTTCTTTCGAATGACCGTGCGGTCAGCCCCAGTGTCTATGAGAAAATTAAAGGTTTTTTCCTTTAATAGTTAGGGTCATCTTGGGCCTCAATCTGGGCACCAAGGGTACGGTCCAGTGGACTTTGACCACCTCTTTCCCCTTATTTAACGGGGCTGGGGATTGCCCCTGGGGGAGTTTAAAGGCACCTCTTGGAGGTTGAATTTAGATCTACAGTCTTTTGCCCAGTGGAACCCCTTCTTACACCTGGGGCATGGGGTGCAGGGCAGGCCTGATTGGGGAGGAGCCATAGAGGCACCCTTAGCATGGTTAGGACACTCTTTTAAAATGGCCTTCCTCCCAACAACCAAAGCAGGACCGTTCTCCCCCCCATGGAGACTTGCTGGAGGGCATTGACTAAGGTTGTCATTTGTTCCCTATTAGCTGCCTGCATGGCTACGGCCATGGTTTGGGCCTGGTGAGAAGTAGAGCCAACATCTCGGGAGGCCACAATCCATTTGCTAATGCCCTGATCTCTCAATCCAGCATAGGCAAGCTTATGATCAGTATTCATGCTGTCCCACACCAACATTTTAACAAATTTATCCCTCAGCTCTCCGGGAGGAAACTTTCTCTGGAGACTCTTATTGACCCTTTCAACAAACGTCACTAAGTCCTCGCCTGATCTCTGATGGACCCTGGATATAGGAGCCTCCGTGGGGCCTTCATCCAATTTTTTCCAAGCAGCTATCCCAAGTGCCCTAACTTGATCTTGATAGGGGGCAGGGATGACGGCCTGCTGGAGGCCAGTGGAGTACTGGTTGGAGGTACCAGACAGACAGCATCCCAAAGGTGATAGAGATTTGAGGGTTGGCCACTTGATTTCTCTCTGCCTGGACCATGCACTCCTCTAGATAGAAGGCATCCCATTTCAAGTAGATGGGTCCAGAGAGGACTGCTTTGGTGAGGGTCTTCCGATCCAGAGTGGTCAAGGCTTGATGAGCCAGACAAGAAGGATAGTCTCAGCCCAAGAGGAATTTGGCCCATCCTCTGAAACAGCCTTTTTAATGTCCTTAAGATTCTGAGCCTCCCAGGGTACCAGGCAAGGGAGAAATTTCTGCTGGGGTTAATATTAACAGGAAAGAGGCCAGTCACATCCCTTGGGGCCGTGCCCCACCCAGAGTAGGGTGGAGGAGCAGACAGATTGGGGGGGGGATGGATTGGTAGGGAGAGCAGACATTGAGGGGCCCTTTGAAGGCCGGGGGCAGCATCAAAGGGATCAAGAGATGGAAACAATGAGCCAGGCTGACTCAGGGGTTTTGGTTTGGGTGTGGCCTCAGTTGTTTTTTTTTTTAAAGATTTATTTATTTATTATGCACACAGAAGAAGGGGCCATGTCTCATTACAGATGGTTGTCCCTTTTTACCCCTGGGCTCCGTTTCCTCTCCTTGAGGTCTCCCTACAGGCCCCTTCTCCTTGTAGGGCTCCGGACTTATGTCTCCCTCTTAGAGTTTTCCACGGGCCGTTTCTCCTTAATGGGAGTTGGTAGAAAGCAGCCCTTTAAGGCGATAACAATGGGGATAGCTGTTAGGACCCTGCCCTCACTCCTGCACATGAGCAGCTCAGGGTCTTGTGTCTTGCATCATCGGGGTGCTGGCAACTACTACTCGAGGTATGATCACGCAGCCTGTGCTTTAGAAGCTGGATGCAGACCCCACGTTGTCTTTCTGCTCTGCTCTGCTCCCCCACACACCCCACCATCTTTCTCTCTCTCCAGGCCTGGCTCTCCTCTTTCTCCTCCCCCATTTCCCTCCTAATAAAGCTCTAAAAACTAACACTGGGTTCTGTCGTGACCATGACATTTCCACGCCGAAACCAGCGCCACCACCAGTGCTGATTATCATCCTTTCATTGGTGCCGTGGACTCGGATAGGAGATTCCACTCACTCAGCGTCCAGGGCTGAGTGTTGTCAGAAACCTATACTGAGGACCTGCGACTGCCCAGCCACCACTGCCACCGCCACCACGACCACTGCCGACACGTCTCCCCCACCACCTGTGCTG